AATGTAGATTAATTTTGATCTCGGATTAACTTACTTTTCATCTTTTCCTAGTTCTAAAAATTAAAAAAATATGAAGAGTAGATTTAAGTTAATTTAAAGTCAAGATTAAAGTTAATTTACATTGGTAGAGAAACGACATATAAATCAAAAAGGTCATATGTAATTACCATTAATTTCGGATGAGAAATTACCATACGCAGATCAAAGTATACCGGTGTTGTTAGGCCAATTTTTGTCTTGAACTCTCCGAATTTCACAGCTTGTATATCATACAGCTCAACTGCCAATTCCTTCAAAATCGCTACCATTTCGACTGTAATCATAGCGATGCATAATTAAAATAAATTTCCACGTTAAACATTTACCGGTGGCTTAAGTATAATTAAAAAATGTTAATGATCATCAAATATAACCTTTGTTTTTTACGATTCAGAGAGTCACGTGCTTTTTTCTTTCTCTACGTTGATCTCGTCTCGGTGCTCGAACTACTCCGTACTCAAAGATGATCTATGACATGTCTTTTTCTCAATTTACACGTGCTCAATTCGCACTATGCAGCAGTATGTGCAAATTTTGTTTGAGAACGTCACGTGACTCATATATTCGTGTTCAGTGCTGTGAATGCACTTGTTCACTAAGGCACTAGCGCCTCTACGGCCGGTATAGACTGGTATAGTCAGTTCGTCAGCTCTGTGAACTATGGTTTCAGAATTGTTCTTTTCAACTGAACTTAGGTCTGTTTTTTATTCCTGCACTAAAACTCTCTCTTTTCCGCTTTCGCCAAATATTAAACATACCTAACTATTATTTTAAGTTTCAAAACACAGTAAGTAGTTCAGCCACAGAAAACAAGACCTTTTTCTGCATGATGGTTTCTCCTTTTTTTTCTCCATAATTAATTCTATTCCACATTGTGTAATAATGAATTATAAAAATGAAAATTAAAAATTAGAATGAAATATAAAATGATAAAATTAGAAAAATATTAAAAATGTTAAAAAGCGTCAAGTATTTATAATAATGTACTTTATTAACAGCATTTTTGAGGCTTTATTATATGTATTTTACTTTTTTATTAGTTATCATTTACTTTATATATGTCAATAATATTAAATACATTATAAATGTTTTAAACAATTTAATCATTGCAACGAACAATAAATATTATCACGACACAATATATTAAAATTAAAATCTTGTATAATTACGTACAATATTTTTCATAATTTTTCCCCCTCTTTCTTTTCGATATATATAAATAAAATGTTATTGAAATTATTAAAATGATTAAATTATTAGGAACGATTTAATTTATTATAAAGGAATAGGAAGCAATGAGTTACACGACGTAGTGTTACATTTACAGTAACACAAATATATTTTATTTTTATTTGAAAACAACAAACATATTTCTAGAGATCGCGGCGCGATCCTCGCGCGACCGCAAAACGCATACTTTGCAAGTGTCAATGTATGTATGTGTTTGTGCGCGTTGAACATTCTATGTCTCATTAATACACCCGCTCAAGTATGCTAATAGTATTAATAACCACGACCTCTCCTGATTTCCTCGCAAAAACGAAATATACATACGAGATATTCATATAAAATTTAAGAATAGCAAATGAAAATTCAATAATAATTATTATCATAATTTTGTAATATTTCTTTTTCAAACATATCTTAAATAAGTTTCTATTTATTTCCAAATTGTATTTTCTAAATATTTTAGTCAATTACGATCGCTTTTCACTTTTTGTTTTCCTATTACTTATACAGTTTTTATACACAAATCAGCATATGAATAATAGTTGCGAAGATAAATAAAATCTTAATAATTGCAGATGTCAATATTCAACTGATAACAATCTCTTTAACTAATTATCATAAAAAATATGGCTATACAGATTATTATGAGACATTACATGGGAAACCTCATATTCTATGTATGTAAAAAAAATTTTACAGAATGCAAAATATTGTAAATTAACTAAATATGAGAAGCGCCACTGATTGATGATCAAAGTTAGATGTTGAATTAATACGTATACGTATTTTTATTTAAACGAATTTATTTCAGAAATATGATTACGCGCCGTTACTGTCGGACTTCTAACGCAATTCATCTGACACATTAATAAAATCCTCTCAAATTTAATTTTAAAAAACTATAATAAACTTTTTGCGAAAAATATTACCTCGGTTGGCACTGAAAACCGACAATAACGGCACGCAATCATATTTTTGAAATAAATTCATTTAAATAAGAATACGTATTAGTTCAACATCTAATTTTGACTGTCAAGCGCTTCTCATATTTAGGTGATGTACTTATATAAAACGGTCTTAATTCCAATCTTATTATTTTAAATTAAGCTGTGAACCTACATGAAAGTTTTTTCCTTTTTTTTATTTGGAGCTTGACAAATACTTGTATTTATAACGAAATTGTGGATATGTATCTAAAACCTTTATAGTTTCTCGAAGTAAAAATATTTGGTGAAAATGATCATGGAAAAAACAAGTTTTGTGGAAGTATTTACATATTTAACTAAATACAGTTCTGAAAATAATTATGTTGGATCATTAAAATTAATCTATAAATCGTTCAAAGCACGATGATAATATAATATAATGCTACAAAAAGTTTCGTTCAAAAGATATTTTAGTAACTAGTTTAAGCGTTCAATTGAAGTAATAATTATTTTGATGGTCCAACGTAATTATTTTTAGATCTATTTTTCATTAAATTTTTAGATAGTTCAACATAATCGTTCTTTCTATGTTCATCTGTCACTATAGTATTCATTGCCTTCACGGTTTGTAGGCCGTTACATAATAAGATAAAGTTATCTTGCGGTACTTTGGCTATTAAAAAATCCGTTACGATAATCTTCTGTTCTCAAGGCTTATCTGCATACTGCGGATTCTTTGCATCATTGGGCCGCCAGTGCGTTGAATTTTTTATAATATCATTAACTTATTGATAATATAAATTTCTTAAATTAGTCCAAATTGAGTTAATGTGCATAGATCCTTAATACACTAGTCATTTTTTGTTGCTTTAGTATTAAGAATCCTTGATTCTATACAGAATGTCGCACAGTAATGTCTTCATTACATTAGTTGTTTAAAGAAAGAAATGTGTCTGATTAAATCCATGATTTGTAAATTGCACATTTAAATGAAAACCGCATTTGAATTATAAATCTACTTAAGGTTACATATAATATATTCAAAATAACCTTTGCAAGTTCCAGACATACGATTATATTCACAATCGTTTCTTGATTTAATAAACATTTCTTGTTAATGTATATTTATCCTCAGCAAAAAAAAACCCGGGTCTGTACTGTAGTATCAAAAAAATGTAATAGAAACTAACTTAGGTGTTACTGGATTACAAAAATTTACTAAATGCCCTAACTAGGATAGTTTCTTAAAAGAATATATGTATAAATAAATATTTACTGAGAAACAATTGTGATACCATCCATTGTTCACTTTTGCTCCGAACACGTTATACGTCCATAGATTTCCCACGTGGAATCCGTATATTACATTCGATTAGATAAGTCTATTCTACACTATCTTTTTTTCCTTTTTTCTCAGGTTTGTGCTTTTGTTTTAAGCACGAACGCTTTCAGACTCTAACGCGCTTATAAGATCTAAGTACAATTATAATATAATTAATCTCAATTCTCAATAGCTAAATCGATTGGACTCTAATTTGATATAATAATAAATTTTCTACTCCACTACGGGTATTTCCCCAAAATTCGTATATAAACCTTGCTAAAATTGCGCCGATCATTCCTGACGCAACTAGGTGGCAGCAACCGAGACATACATATTTATTAGATACTTTTGTAAAGAAGTCCATTCCTATTTTTAATATAGTATTATTTTACATTAATGAGTTTGGATTTGTCCTAACGATTGGTTTATATGATTTTTATACATTTGGATGAGAGATGAATATATGAATATGTATAAATTTTAATTGTTAGTATTTTAGTATTTTAATAGCGTTATGTCTGTCTGATAAATATAGATTCTACTGTGTTCGGTTGGCCACCCATGTACCTACTATAACTTAAATTTATCAGAAAACTGTATCAAAGATTTTTCAAGAAATTTGTAAAAAATATGTAAAAGAAACTGACGTGCTCTAATATTAATTTTATTGATAAATTAGAAATAA